GTGGGGGGGGGTTAACAATGGTAAATGTTGATTTTACTAATTATTAGATACAGTGCCAATGACAGTGTAGTCAGCTGTCATCATCTCATTGAGATTAACAGAGCTTTTAGTACTACCTGCTATTACAAACTTAAAATACCTAAGTTTTACCTGGATGTTGGAATCATCCCTAAAGGTCAGGGCGTTGCCCTGCTGCTTAGTGATCTGAATACTGGCACCCAGAAGAGTTAATTCATTTCCATTTTGCAAGATTAGTTCTATACTGACCTACTACAGTTTGTTCCAAGTCCACCATAATAGCCCGTGGCACATATTTTCTAGTGCTTGTCTCTCTGAAAAATGTGGCAAAAGAGTCGTCATCGCTGGGTTGGTCCCTGAAGGTGCCATCTGGCTGAATGCCATGTTCCAGACAGAAGAGTTCCCAACATGCATTGCCAATTTGGACTCCAGCTTGACCAACGTGAACAGAGATGCACTCACGCTAGAGAGGGAGATCAGGGAAAAGGTGAGAAGAACCAGTGAGTATCTTGAGAGTCGATAAGCTGATCTTACCTGAAAACCCAATCAACCACTGATTTTTTTATTTCTTCTGAATAGGAGACAAAACCTTACACAATCTTTCACATGACCAGAATTAATAGAAAATATTTTACACTCATTTACAAACAGGAAGATGAATGTATTTTACTGTGTGTGGAAAGAAACAATAATCACAACAGTTAGAAATTTGCAGCCACACCTACACATGTGTACAGCAAGTACATTTTCTGCAGTGCATGTAAATTCATATAAACAGAAAAACTGGGCATCAATACACAAAATGAACTGCAGTAGATCCCAGCTAAGGAATATGAGCTAAATCCATTTACCTCGGACAAAACACAACTATGCTGCCTTACTGATCTCTAGATAAAACAGAAGGAATGAAGTATCTCTCAATCTTCTTTTGAACATGTGGGTTGGAGAGGTGGAAAATAGGTTTGTACAAATTAAATGAAAGTAACTAGAATTAAAGTGCCTTTAGTACCTAATTTAATCTCAACCACTGATTGTTTCAGTGCATTCTCCAGGTATTTTAATCCAATTTAACATGCAAAGAGTTAACTTGATACTCAAGAGAACTTGATACTTTTCACATATTAAATTAAATTAAATTAATCTCCTGAGAAATCATTGTCATACATACACTTTCTTAGTCATTGCTGTTCAGTCAATAACCAGTTTCTAAAACGTATATTACTATGTCATGCGCATAGTTTAGTGCCAGAAATCTGAAACACAAAATACAATATTACATTCTACAAGAAAAATAAATGTTTCTCCTTCTGTAAGTTGTTATGCAGACTCTCAACTACTGTGAATGTAAAGGGTTCTCTCAAAAACACTGTTGTTGGACACAGTATATTTGAATATGACATTTTTGGCAGGTGATTCCTATCCAGTTGCAGTTAATGTCTGTGGAAATATCCACATTTCTTTGCTCTTAACCTTAACGCTCACAAGCTCGTATGAAAAAGCCATTAATACAGTGTTTAAATATATACTGTATTTAACATATATACAACGTAGCTTCCATCCAAAAAAAAAAAAGTTCCAACCCCATCTTTCTTTTTCTGCATATGATTTAGCTGCACGTATTAAACTTGATTAATTTATCAAGAGGCTGATACAATAGCCTGTTTGTAGTCTGAAGGCAACATTTGTTGCCTCAGAAATGAACACATACTCCCCAATTCTTTTCCTTTAGAAATTTCCTATCTAGATATAATCTTGATAAATCCACTGTAGCCTAAGAGACCAGGCAGAAATGGAGATGCTCAGATCTGCACACCATACAATCCTAAGAATTCCAGTTTATGAACTTGTTGATCAGTCATCAAGGAGGGTCCTTAATCCCTCATCCCCTCCACAGTACAGGGCACCTGAATATAGTACTTGGGCGCCTGTTCCCTAATTCAAAGACAAACTGAATGTCTCAGGGCTCCATTAAAACTGGGTTCTCCCTGATGTTGTAAGACAGTGAAGCAAAAGATGGATTAGATTTCATAAAACTTATGCCCTGAATTTTCCAAAACTACATGGGTAAGTGGGAACAACTACAGCCCATTTCATTTATGTTACTTGGATACATTTACTTTCTTTGATTTTTCTTTTCTTTTCTTTTTTTTTTTATGATGAGTAAAGCTCAAAGGAGATTAATATTTTTTTTTTGTACCTTGCCGATGTTCGAATATTCTTGTTTATTCATCAAGAAGAAAAACTGATCTAATTAGGTATAAGGCAGAAGCTGTTTTCTGGATGGAATTTTTTTTTTCATTTTACTATCTGTCGCATAAAAATTGCAGCTCCACTTCTGTCTCTCCCTAATCAGCTTCCTTTCTCCTGAATATTCAAGTTCTGCTGGTTGGTCCAGCTCTTCCTGGTGATCTCCCCAGAGACAGAGCTGCACAGCATCGGCTGCCGTTCTTCTCTACCCTGGCCCCCCAGCTAGCTACAGTATGGGAAAATCTAACAGAAGAAGTATCAGTAGAATCCCAGAGGATATTTAAATTTTAATCTCACTTCAAATTCATATCTCCCTGTCTTTAATAAGCCTGGATCACAGGTAGCCTGCTAACTACATCGAGGCTGCGGTGATAGAAAACCTGACGTTAGAGTTTGAAGGCACATTAATTACAGCCTGCTTTAGACTTCAGCCACACTGAAGTTAGTCCACATGTGTAGTACCCCTACCTAGGTAAATGTTGAAAAATGTGCATATGATAGAAAGTGATCTCAAGAGCAGAGCTGTACTAGTGGATGTTGAAAATAAAACTGCTCAGAGTAGCAGGGAATGGAAGGAAAATAAGTGAAAGGAAATTGATAGGGAAGGATTATTTTTTCTGTATTGATTTTCAAAGGTTGATAGCTTGATGTGCCAATGTGAATTGCAAGCAGATACATTTCCATAGAGAAAGAGTTGTACTGCTATAATCACTGAAGAGATATATTTCTGTTTTGTTTTAGCTGATTTTGAATCAGGACATTTGAGATTTGCCTTTCAGTCTGTAGTTGAGAAGGGGTTGCTGCCTCTATAGGGGCAGGCAATTTTCGAGTGGAGACTTTTATGCTGTGTAAAAGGATCCTTGCAGAGTACATAAGTTACCTAAACACCTATTTCATGTTTCCATTACATTTGGCAGTACTATGCAAATTAGACTTGTACAGTAAGTGAGACTTGAACATAGGAAATAAAAAATATGAAGAGATAGTGACCCACTTAAAATCAATCAAGAAAAATAATTTTTGGATTAATTTTTGAAATAGTGACTACCAGGAGTTTCACATAATTGCATTACATTTCCTGATTCTCTGCTACAAAAACAAAGATGCAGGAGCAGCAGATGCCAAGCAGAAGAAGAAAAAAAGCACTAAATTCATCTTCAGCTATAATTCCATTTGGCACTCCCCAAGGGATGACTGTATTGCTGTTTCTTGCAGCCACCCTATGGTATGTTCTGAACTCATTTGCTCGTTTGTGATCCTTTCTTCCTATTTCATGACCTAGCAGTGAGGTCATGAGCTTCTGACACAAACCACTGATGAACACTAGGAGTCCAGTGTCAGAACTCGTATTGTAGACGAGTTCTGAAGCAGCTGTGGACCTTTGAAGCAGCTGTGGACCTTAAATGGTACCCTTGAAGGGTATTCACATCTTCTTAGACCAAAGAATTGATCATTTAGTTGTCTCTATGCTTTGAGTTCCTAATTTAGGACCCTCTACAGAGCTCGGTGTTCCAAAACTAGGTATTCAGCCCTTTCTTTAAAAGAGAAGAAAAAGAGTCAGGCTTCTTAGGTACCTAATTTCAAAGGTTACCAACCACTTCTGAAAAATTAATTATATGTGGAACTGTGCTACCAATATTCCAGATTTGCTATTTAAAAATTGACTAGATTTTTTTAAAGTGGTGACTTTTTACTTAAAAGGTTCTTAAAAGTGACTGCGCAATTTAGGAAAACAGCCTTTTCTGTGGTCAGATGGAAGTCAGTTAGTTTGCAAACTAGGAGGACCACCCTAGTATTAATTTGGCATTAGGATTCTGCAAGAAGTGATAAGGAAACCAAAATTATGTGCATTCAAAAATACTTCAGCATAGTCACTTTCCAACATGCAATTACTTCATTATTGTGCCATTTTATAAATCTGCATTTATTAGAGGTACTGTTCGTTAAAAACAACAACAACAACAAAAAAGAAGTTTGAATACCAGTTGAAAATGTGACTATACAACTAGTTACTCTTTTAAACATAAACTTTTGAGTGAGAAGGATCAGTCCCTCCAGCTGATACCATCTTCCTCTCCTCTGCAGAGATGGAGCACAGTGTAGCAGAGGTATACTTGCAACCTTGAGTTCTTTATATTCTTGTCATAAAGTTAAGCAAGAATAGAACAAAAAGCCTTCTTTCTTTCAACAGCCACAGATCTGCAGAAATCAGGAAGCCATTTAAAGAATCCGGGAAATGTAATAAACTAAAGCACTATAGTTTATTAAAGAAATGTCTAAGGGCTACCTTGTTTTTCTACACCAAAGACCAAACTTTAATGCCATCGACATAAATACAAGCAGAGTCCTAGCACTGCTTACATCTGTGTGTGTAAGGGGAAATGGAACAGGAAACAAGTACTGTCTTAGGCTCTCCCGGTATTTACTAACCTAACAAGAAGAGAGTTTTTTTTAAACAACACTTGAAAGGCTTTTGGTAAGATTCACCGAGCCACTCAATAACAAAATCTTGGACACAGTAGGAATTACCGAATAAAGTTCCCTGGATTATGTTATACAAGAGATGAATTTAGAGAACCACAATGGCCTGGGAAGACCACAGATCACTAACATTAATCTCTGGTCCCATTCACCTAGTCGCAGTCCCAATACTGAAGTAAAAAAGTCACTTCAACCTTTCCACCTTCACATAGACCTTGATGAGAGCAGATGGAAACAAAAGGCCAAATTCATTGTTCATCATTTCATAAAATAATCTGATTTTTTTTTTCTTACCATGGTATCTTCTGTGGTGCTCACTTCCTGTCTTGATTTGAAGCAGCAGCTTTGGTTACTGATGTTTCTTCTGCTGTTTTGCTCTAAGTAGCCTGGTGGAAGGAGGCAGGGCATTCATCCCTTGCTGGCTGGGGCCCTGCAGCATCACAGTGCAGGCAAGAGAGGTCATAATCTCCCCGAGGCAACCTTCCCATCCCACTACTCACCCCTTACATCACCAGCCTGCCTTCAAACATACGCAAGCCCCAGCCCTAAGTCTGTCCCTAAGGAAGTCTTCCCAGGTAATCTGTCATACTAAACCTGGTTAAAAACAAGTTACAACCAGTATTTGTAACCAGAAGTTTTAACATATATGGGGCATCTTCACAAATAACAACTGGTTTCCTAAAACACTAACTGGTGAATATGCTACTGATAATTCACTTAAGTGTAGAAGATTATTAGCCACTGTTAAAATTTGACCATCAACACTATTTTGGAAGGTGGCATAATTTTTAAATTGTGTCTTTGTGACAAAGAGATTGGGGATGAACAGTGAACAGAGTTGTTTAACTTGCCTAAGTTGCACTGATTGAAATGAGTCAGGTTGGATGATAAGGAATTCCACTTGGTTGACTATTTGATGATAGTAGCAGCTTTATAACAACACTAAAACACTGTTTACATGTCACAGTCACAGAGTCACAGAATCACAGAATGGTTGAGGTTGGAAGGGACCTCTGGAGATCATCTAGTCCGACCCCCCTGCTCAAGCAGGGTCCTCTAGAGCATATTGCCCAGGATCGCGTCCAGGCGGGTTTTGAATATCTCCAGGGAAGGAGACTCCACTACGTCTCTGGGCAACCTGGTCCACGGCTCAGTCACCCTCACAGTGAAGAAGTTTTTCGTCATGTTCAGATAGAACTGCCTGTGTTTCCGTTTCTGCCCGTTGCCTCTTGTCCTGTCGCTGGGCACCACGGAGAAGAGTCTGGCCCCATCCTCTCGACACCCCCCCTTCAGATACTTGTACACATTGATGAGATCGCCTCTCAGTCTTCTCTTCTCCAGGCTACACAGGCCCAGCTCTCTCAGCCTTTCTTCATAGCAGAGATGCTCCAGTCCCCTCATCATCTTTGTAGCCCTCCGCTCGACTCTCTCCAGTAGTGCCATGTCTCTCCTGTACTGGGGAGCCCAGAACTGGACACAGTACTCCAGGGGAGGCCTCACCAGGGCTGAGCAGAGGGGCAGGATCACCTCCCTCCACCTGCTGGCAACACTCTGCCTCATGCGCCCCAGGATACCACTGCCCTTCTTGGCCACAAGGGCACATTGCTGCCTCATGCTTAACTTGTTGCCCACCAGCACTCCCAGGTCCTTCTCTGCAGAGCTGCTTTCCAGCA